AAAAAAAAAAAAAAAGGCACAAGTCTCACTGCTGTAGCTGACCATACTTTCAGAGTCATCTGGTAAAAGGAGGATACCTCCACAGAAAGAGAGTAAGAATTGGGAATCTACTCAGTCACAAAGTCGGCATTGGACAGCTCCTCCATTACTTAATCACGCAGGATGAGACCAAGTCAGGGGAGATGATGTTCAGTGGCACGTGTCATGGGCACTTGGATTGAAATGATAAGTATCGTGCCTCTAAAATAGAGGCTGGAGGTGGGTGCTGGTGGCTCACACCTGTAATCCTAGCAAGCCAGGAGGCTGAGATCTGAAGATCATGGTTCAAAGCCAGCCCGGGTAGAAAAGTCCATAAGACTTATCTCCAATTAACCACCAAAAAAAAAAAAAAGCCAGTATAGTGGAGCTGTGTCTCAAGTGGTAGAGCGCACAAAAGCTCAGAGACAGCACCCAGGCCCTAAGTTCAAACCCCAAGACCCACACAAAAATGAAAATATAAGGAGGGTTGGGAAATTTGGGGTGGCTCGTTCTCCACTTCAGGGGAATCACAGGCATTGGTCCAAGATGTGGTCATTCCTTTGGTTCCATTGGACATAGCTGGCATTGCTGGTGCAGTGGGTGAGAGAATTGAGGGAGGAATCAGAGACCTCAACGCATATAGGAGGAAAGGGCACAGCTGCCCTCGGAGCGGCCCACGGTCGCGGCCTAGCGACACAAGAGGGAGGGAAGATGGGCTCCGGGATGGCCTAACTCGCCCCCTTCTGCTTTTCCCTGCAGGGTCCCAGGTGGCACCATGGCCCTGTCCAAAAAACTGAGGCTCCTGCTCTTCCTGGCGTCCCAGCTGGCTCTGCTGTTCCTCCTGCTCTGCGCGTACAGGGGCGAGGGCGAGGGCGGCGGGCAGCGGGAGCGCGCGCAGCGCGTGCACGTGCTGGTGCTGTCGTCCTGGCGCTCGGGCTCGTCCTTCGTGGGCCAGCTGTTCAGCCAGCACCCGGACGTCTTCTACCTGATGGAGCCCGCCTGGCACGTGTGGATGACCTTCACGCAGAGCACGGCGGGGACGCTGCACATGGCGGTGCGGGACCTGGTGCGCTCCATCTTCCTGTGCGACATGGACGTGTTCGACGCCTACCTGGCGCCGGGGCCGCGGGCGCAGTCCAGCCTGTTCCAGTGGGCGGTGAGCCGGGCGCTGTGCTCGCCGCCCGCCTGCGGCGCCTTCCCGCGCGGGGCCATCAGTAGCGAGGCGGTGTGCAAGC